CGTTAACCGCGTTAGTCGTAAAAAAAGTCAACCATAGAAAACTTTCTCTAACACTGACGGAAGGAAATTAATCGTTAGCCGTGAAGTGGCCAACATTTTAACCGTTAGTTGTAACTAAGGCCATCATATCATTGAGACCCCCTCGGGTGAGTAGAAATAGACAGATATATGGCTTCTATCAGTAACGTGCATTCCTCCAGTTTGATTTCTAGACTTCCTGTCAAAGGCCCAGACTTTATCAGATAGTTCCTTTGTTGACTGTTTACTCGCTTCTCCATTAGTATAAGTGTTTGGTAAATTAGGCCCCCCCGAACATATAATCATGCGCAATTAAAAGTTAATTAACTTCGCTGTTTGAATTTAAAATCATCACGCATATAAAAACAAATGATTATTTTTGAAAATGTTTGATGGTTGCTGATTAAAAGTCCTTGGTGAAATATTGGACACTGAACTGAGTTCACATGAACCACTGTTCCATGATTCATATAGCTGATCATTCCGATCTTTTTGGCATCCTTCTTGCACCTAGATCAATAGTCAGTCAAGTCAATTAGGACAGTCAAACAACAGCGCATGCATATGCGAACGTTCTAATCATAGTCCTCTCTACTAACTATGTTCTCATGCGGTAGGGATGGTTTGGTGGAGTTCTTTCAGGCTGTGGGAACTATGTTTTCTCACAGGATTTATAAATAAACATACAAGCCAGTAGTTTACGGTGTTTTAAAATAGTATAATGAAGTTTTTGATAAGTGCAGGTAATTACATAATCTTCTTTCGTGCAATTTGGAAGAGCTAAGCACCAGTGAATTTTTTCAAAGACCAACAAAATTGCACGAGCCCTTAAGGGCGAATGCAATTAAAAGTGTAGTCCAAGAAAGAATTTCGAGTGCTCGCTTATCTCTTTCAAACTGCTGGAAAGAAATCATGTGATTACCTTTACTTACTAAAAAAAGGAAAATATTTTGGATAGCTTTTCTTAATTACGTAGAAGCAAAGCGCGCGAGTCACGTGCAAACAATGGTTCATCTAAACCTTGTAAATATTATTCTACGTTTGGTCAAAACAACCACGTTTAATCAAAAGAATGATTTTCTAGCTTTTTTTTTTCTTATTTCTTTTTAAGTTCATAGGCCACAAAAAAAGTTGAAAACGGGCTTAACAGTCTTCTTACCTCCCTTTTGCATTGTGCTACCTAAAAACTACATTCCCTCTGGCCAATCAGAACGAAGAAAACTTTTCATTTTACATTTGGTTCGAATCAGAATGGTAAATAAACAGGTTACCCCTAATTTAATGAATTTTTGCCTTTGAAAGGTCTGAAGTTTTCTCGTTTTCTCCACGTTTGCTTCCCAGTGCAGATTTCTATTTTTCGTGACAGCGGTTGTTGCGTGGGAAATTGGCCAGCCAAAATTGATCACCTTACACACGTCCGACGTTGTACCTCTGTGTTATCAAATCAGTCAGTAGTTGATCTCCATTTCTAACCGCTGTTCGGTTTATAGATTGTCTCAGGAACGGATTGATGTGTTTTGAGATATCTCCATAAAGGCTTATTTCGATGTGATGCTCTGAGACGGTGAGCAGCCAGCCTATTGACATAGATTGTGGAATTGGTTAGTTTTGTCGATGAAACAGACGAGAAATTTAAAAAAGAAAGCTGTTTTTTCGTCTTGTCTTTTCAAGAGCGTGCCCACTTTTACTACAGGATAATTTGGATTAACCAACTGAACCGATGAAATAAGTTGGCCATTGTAAAGAGTTTTAAAAGCTGACGTTTGCAGTGTTGGTCCTTCGTCAACCTCGTTCCCAGGGTCTTTTCCCTTAGTTAGCCCCACACCTAACTAAGGGAAAAGGCCCTGGGAACGAGGTTGGTCCTCCGTCAGAGCGAAGGACGAAGGGTTAACGTTCGATACGTCAGCTCTAAAAGCTCTTTACGGTGGTCAATTTACATTATTAGCTATTCGGATTAAACAAATTATCTTCTTCATCGAAAGGTCAAGGTTTGTTCTCATTCCCCGGTAATTCCGCTCTTGTTTAAGAGTTCCTAACATCCATCAATCAAGGTGACTAATTATCGCCGGGACGGAACCGGAAGTTAGTCAAGGGGGCTTCTGAGAATTGTCTGAAGGCGGACCCCTCTGGAGAGTCTGGTTGCAAGCCCGCCCTTAGTGAGATTTCGAAAAGTAGGTATTCGGAAACATGATTTCCAGCGTTTGAAGGAGATGACCTTGGAGGGGGGTTGGGGGGGAGAGTTCGACGGAACCACACCAACCACTCCTGGAGCCGCATCACTGGTCGAGGGTGAATAACAACGCTCTCGTCTCCTCTAAAGTCTAGTGTAGTTGAACTGCGTGCAACACTGAATGCACGGACAATTCAAGGTCATATCCTAATGACAAAAAAGAGCCCCCCTCAGAAAAGCACCCTCTTCCTTTATTTCTTTCTTGAATAGCAAATATATTTGGAAAACCTGTTGCTATTGCCGGCTTTGTTTATAACTCTTTGAACCTCATCTGCGGCAGAATCAGTATAGCATTCGATTAAGCGCCACTCCTTTTGGCCGAAATTTGAAATAAGCGCTGGGGCGGTTAGTCGAGGAAATACGATAAACCCTCGTCACACGACGTGACACGCGACGATATTAATATTTGGAGTGAGTGGCCATGACAAGCTGTACAATTGGCAATCAACTCCTACGCACATTTTGTATTCGAGATGGTAGTCTGTCTGGCCGGCTATAATTATTTCATATTTAACAAGAGTGATGGGATTATTTTGTTTTTGCAGTCTCTTTTCCTCTCACGACGCTTTCG